CTCAACTTCCCATCCAGCTCCCTGCCTGTGACCTGGGAAAGCAGTTGAGGATGGCCCAATACTTTGGGATCCTGTACCCGTGAGGGAGACCTGGGGGAGGTTCCTGACTCCTGGCTCCGGATCAGCACAGCACTGGCTGTTGTGCTCACTTGGGGAGTGATCATCGGATGGAAGATCTTCCTCTCTGTCTCTCCTCCTCTCTGTATACCTGACTTTGTAATAAAAATAAATAAATATTTAAATTAAAAAAAAATTAAGTATGGACTTTCCAAAACACATTTGAACATAAATAAAACTTTCTAAACTTATTTTTATTGGGCCCGGTGCGGTGGCGCAAGTGGTTAAAGGTCCTCGCCTTGCACGCCCGGGATCCCATATGGGTGCCGGTTCTAATCCCGGCAGCCCCACTTCCCCTCCAGCTCCCTGCCTGTGGCCTGGAAAAGCAGTCGAGGACAGCCCAAAGCTTTGGGAACCTGCACCCGCGTGGGACACTGGGAAGACTCCTGGCTTTGGATCGGCATAGTATCGGCCCGTTGCGGTCACTTGGGGAGTGAATCATCGGATGGAAGATCTTCCTCTCTGTCTCTCCTCTCTGTATATCCGCCTTTCCAATGAAAAAATAATAAAAATAAATCTTTAAAAAAAAAAAAGAAAATAAACTTATTTTTATTGAAAAGGCAGATTTACAGCAGCATTTCAGAACTATCCAAACCACTTGGACAGAATCCTTGGAATATGTAAATATTGAGACTCTGGGTTGATATCAGGTGGTGGTTCCTCATCCTTGGGTAGTGGAATGTGTGGAAAGTCATGAGTGGTTTCCCCCTTTGTCTCTCCCCTTCTCCCAGGAACAACAAAAAATAGCAAATTTGGAAGCAATGAGTTCACCTCAATTTTTCTTAAGCCTTGATCCTTCCCACCCTGATCAATCACATAATCATTATTTAAAAATGAAACTATACACTCACGGCAGATTTACAGAAAGAGGAAGAGAAAAAAAAAGTTTTCCATCTGCTGGTTTTCTCTCCAGTTGTTTATAATGGCAGGAGCTCAGCAAATCCAAAACTTTTTCCAGGTCTTCCATTGGGTGTGGGGTTCTCAAGACTTTAGGCCATACTCCATTAATTTTCCAGGCCACAAGCAGGGAGCTGGATGGGAAATGGAATAGCTGGGACAAGAACCAGTGCCCATATGGGATGTCAGCACTACAGGATGAAGGATTAGCATGCTACGCCAGTGATCAAGCCCTAAAACTTATTCTCTAATTTCACTTTCATCCAAACACCCTAATAATTTACTCACCTTCTCTAATTTAAAGAAAAAAAAAATTAAGCTTATTTGTATAAACTTCATGTTGGTTGCAATTTAATAATATATATGTATCTTATAGTTTGATTATTATTAACTCTGAAAATGTATTCAAGTCATTTGGAAGAAGCCCCAATAAAGTGACAACACCTAGAATGGCAGCCACAGTGCCTATCTGATCATCTGTCACATGACTACCGTAATTATGAGTCTATATGGCCTTCACTCAATATTACAGCATTACAGATTAAAAATGAGTCATTTGAAACGGGTTTTATAATAATTACTAACTTCAAACTATTCTGAAAATGTTAATTTACTTAATAGTGAGTATGCCCGCAAAAAAGCAAAGTAAGACACACATTTAACACTAACAATGTTAAATTTATTTGTTTGGGTGGGGCTGTGGCATAGTAGTTCCAATTCAGGCCCCTACTAAGGCCATGGTATGTGCTGAGTTCCTGAAACCTGGACAGGATTCCCAGTCAGCAGCCGTGGCTCCTAGCTCTGGCCTCGCCAGGGCTCCCGCAGTCCTTTGGGGAGTTCATCTACCCTCTGCCTTTCAAATAAACAAAGAAATAAGCCTTTAGAAACAGAAATCAGAACTGCCACAGCACAGCCTAGTCTGACATAACAAATGTCAATTTAAACATTTAGCTATATTAATGTCTAAGTACAGGCAAACGGAGTTCCAGCAACAAATGCATGAAAGGACAAGCTAAATGGCAAGGGAGAAGAACAAAATTCCTAGAGACCCTTTACAGCTACCAATATGTAAGGATCATTTTTTAATTCAGTTACTAGGTATCATATATCATTGTCACTAGCAGCTATAATTCAGTTAAACCCAAGGTGCTATCTGTGGAAGGCCATCATGTTGAAATTCCTTCTCCAGTCTTTCAGCTGAGTTCAGCCCTCTCAGCTTTTAGCTGTGTCTTGTCAGCTCCCTGCTCCTATGCCCAGAAAACGCAGTGGAGGACAACCCCAACAACTGGGCCCCTGCCACCCACACAGGAGACCTAGATGGAGTTCTAGACACTTCACTTCAGCCCAGCCCCACCCCAGCCATTGCGGCCATTTGTGAAGTGAACCAGTGGATGGAAGATTTGTCTATATATAACCCTGCCCTGCAAACAGCTTTCTTAATTTTACAAAAAAAAAAAAAAAAAAAGGCAACTTAAAAGACTCAGTAGCAGCTAACCCTCTCCTGTCATCACTTGTCCTCCACCCCAGCGACAAACACCTGAAGGTCTCCCTGCTTTTTCCTCTAATAACTTCCACCCCCACATACCTAGAATAAACTTTTAAAGAGTTAACTGCCTGGCAGAAAAGGAACCAGGACTATGAAAATACTCCAACAGAACCAACCATTGCCACAGGCATGCGCCCAGACGACCATCACCATGATGCATGCAGATCCTCCCCGACCCACCCCACAGCAGTCACCCATTGAAGAGCCCACAGCAGCCAGAAAACACCGTGTGCTGATCACTGGGCTGGGTCTGGAACAGGCCAGTCTGGACCGTGGTCATTCAAGACCCAAACACCTAAGCCAGGAATAGGCAGCCAAGGACCTCCCAGGGATACTCATCCATCTCCTTCAAATGATTGCAGTCGGACCCGCCACATAGAGACTGCTATGAAAGCCCAAGAACTGGAATTTGTCTAGCAAATAATTTTTAGATTCTCTCAATCTATGCAAAAACATCAAGATGTAAAGTGAACACACTAGAGGTAAGAATCCTGAAGTACAGCCAACTCCAAGCCAGCTGTTTTGGAAATATGCAGGACCTCTCTCACAGAGAAAAAAAAAGTTCTGGTCTGCTTCTAACTTGACAACTCCAGTATGATCCTGGCTCATTCCGTCTCTAGAACTCAGCTTTACCTCCAGCATGACTGGACCATAAGATGCATTTTAATTCTAAAATTCAGTATCTATGAAGATACTGGTTGACAGTTACCATCCTATTCTCTCCCGTACAGTCTTTGATCAGAACACAGGCTGTAAGCTCAGTGCTAGACTGACTAAAACCAAGCTCCACAGGATATGTTTAATGCTACAGACAGCAGTCAAGCAGATGGACACAACCTAAACCGAACCCAAACTTTCAGAATTCACTTGGGCCTGAAGGATAGCACATTGAGTCTAACTGCATGTTGGCTACCAGTGAGGATGACAGGTGGCATGAACACGCTGGATTTTAAAATACATCTCCTGTTTGCAATATTAAAGGTATCTAGGAGTTCAGAGGCCCTTCAGGAAGAACAATTAAGAACTAGTCTTTGTAGTTCCAGTCCAAACAAGGTTGTTTGTGCTCCCCTCCCCAAATACTTCAAACAACCTCTCCATCAGCCCAACCTTGTCTTTTGAACACTTGGGTGTGTGCAATACACTAAGTGGCTGAAAAAATTCTCAAAACATACAGCATTAAAATGTTAACTTTTGGGGCCTTGTTTTAACACTCCCCCCCCCAACTTCCAATCTGGTAGAGAACAATACAACCTGACTGCACACCTGCAAAACACACATATGTCAGAAGAAGGTCTTAAAGACAAAAAGAACCAAGCAAGCCCCAACAAACGCAAAATGTTTCAATCAACATTACCGAAAAAACGCAAGGGAAAGCAACACGGACTTTTTTTGGAAAAAAAAAAAGCCATCTTCCACCATAAAGGACAAAATATTGCATCTAATCAAGTTGATGTAGGTGTAAATAACGCTGTTTAATAAAGACACCCTATTAACTGTGCATCCGACCCGTTCAGGTGAGCACCCAATCAAGGCAGTAACTTATACTAAAGCAAAACTACATATATTTTCATGCAACGTTATTTCAATCATCAGAAATAAAAATTTTCCCTCCTAGAAAACACCCTTTTACTTCTCAGTGCTAACAACTAACAGGTTTCAACAAGAGCTTTTCCCTTCAGAATAAACCCAAGGCTACTGCATTTAAAAAAAAAAAAAAATCTCCTCAAAGCACAGCTGGACGGGGTGTATAAAAGGGCGATTCACGTTTCACGTTCAATGTAAAAAGGCAAAATGGAGTTGTGAAGTTTCTTGCCCATTTTCAACTCGGCCAGCCCCGCGGCGCCCTGCGGCTAGCTGGGAGCCCCCGCCCAGCCCCGCGCGGCCGGGAGAGAGGAAGCTCGGCGGAGGGCGGGCGGCTGGGGCTCCGGCAGGCCCGGCCGGGCGGGGGAAGGGGCACTGGAGGCGGCGGGGCGCGCTTCCGGGGCCTGCGCGGGCGGGGCCGCGGGCTCGGGGGGCCCCAGGGCCGGAGTCCCGGGGGGCAGAGGCCGAGGGGCCGCCGGCCGGTCGGGGAGAGAGCAGCAGGTGGGGCGCGGTCGCGGCGGGGCGACGGGAGGGCGGGCGGCCGGAAAAGTGCCGGGCGGGCGGGCCCGGGGCGCGCCGCGGCGCCAAGAGGGAGTCCTTCCCGCTCACCTCGGGCGACGACGACTCCGAGTCCGGCCTCTTCGCGCCGAGGGGACGCCTGTCCGCGAGTCGCAAGGCCGGCGACGAGGACGGGCGGCTGAGGACGCGACGGCTCACTAACGAGAGAACCGACCGAGGACGGCGGGTGGCGGGCGGGGAGCGCGAGCGAGCGAGCGAGCGAGGGCGGGCGGTGGTAGCGACGGGAGGGCGGGGAGCGACGTGCGCGTCCCCGAGCGCCCGGCGGGCTCGAGCCGGCCCTGGCCGCGGCCCCGCGCACGCGCGCGCACCCCTAGCTCAGCCACGATTGCTCAGGAACGCGTCCACGCCCTACGAGCAAGGCGTTTAACCAATCCTGACGGCCGCGTGGGGCATCACGGGAACTCTGGGGCTATAAAAGACCCAGTTGCTATTTTATACTCCCGGAGTCGCTCGTGTTTGAAGGGAGTAGGGTGTGGCTAGGTGCGCATGCGCTGTTCTCATACTCCGCCCTAAACTGCCAACTCTTCGCCCCTGCGAGGTAGGGCCCCCGCCCTGCCTGGTTTAACGCGTGCGCAGTCACGGAGCCTGGCTCCAGAAAGCCACCTGCGCCTGCGCGGTGAGGACTACGGTGACAGTACCCCGAGGTGGGGCGCGGCGGGGCGATCATGGCGGAGTCTTGGTCTGGACAGTCTTTGCAGGCTCTGCCGGCCACGGTGCTGAGCGCTCTGGGCGCCCTGGGCAGCGAGTTCCTGCGGGAGTGGGAGGCTCAGGACATGCGGGTGACCCTCTTCAAAGTGCTGCTGCTGTGGTTGGTGTTAAGTCTCCTGGGCATCCAGCTGGCGTGGGGGTTCTACGGGAACACGGTGACCGGGTTGTATCACCGCCCAGGTGAGGCTCCCTGCGAACCTCGGTGAGCTGGCCGCCCCCTCTCCTACCAGTGGGGTTCCTCAGAATCCCTCTAGACAACCACTAGTCTGCCAACATCTTCTTCAAAACTTGAGTAGGTACCCCAGCCATATCCTGTGATGCCAAATTCCCACCCTTCCACCCATCACCTGAACCGTCCAGACTGGGGAGCCCCGTGGCCGATTTCCCCACAGCAGTCCTCTGTTGCCCCTAACCTGAATTGGCCTACTGCCTGCCCAGACCCCCGCCTCCCACCCCAGCCTACCGCAGCTCTAGCTCTGGATGTGTTCCTGCCTTCAGGTATAGGCGGCCAGAACGGATCCACCCCTGATGGCTCCACACATTTCCCTGCGTGGTAAGTAGATCCATCCCTCTGGCAAGCAAGAGCACACACCCCTGTGGCAGGGACAGAGTACACAGTTCTCAAAGTAGCAGTGGTCTTGGGCAGAAGGTTCAGGTGTGACCTGGAGAGGTCAGGGTTTAGGATTGGTGTGACACTGAGGTCTGCGAAACCCATCCATATGCTGTTCAGCAACCCACCTGGAGGTGTTTGGTCAGAGAAGGTGCAAGGACTAGAGTGGAAGGAAAATAGACAAGACTGTGGAGTTTGAACATGAGAGTATGACTTAGGGACTGACTCAGGGAGGCCACACCTTTATAAACACCTGCTTCCTGGCAGATAGATAAAGGGGTCTAGGACTGAGGGTGAGAAGTGCTACTGCCACTGTGAAGCGGCTGGGTTAGAATGGCAATGCCATCCTAAGATGAGAAACCAGGGGGAAAAGAATGTGTCTGCACCAGCAAAGCAGGCCCCTGGTTGGCTGCAGATGAGCCAAGAGGTCTGAACTGCCATACAGTCCTAGGGAGTCCAGCTTAGCCTCCAAGAAAAGGGGTTGGGAGAGCCACTCGCATAAACTGCTCTGCTGCCTGTGGAATGAATAATCCCTTCTTTCTCCCTCACTTTCAGGGAAACGGCAGCCAATGAACCTCTCAAAACCCACAGAGAATAAGGCCAAGCAAAGAGGTCTCCAGGATGCAAGCCTGGGTCCACAGGTGCCTGTACCAACTCCTGCAATTTCCCAGACACAAGGGGCAACATAGAAGGCTCAAGCTTGACACCAGGAGCGCCCAGGACTGCAGGGCTGGGCCTCCACTGCCCCTGACCCGGCCTCCAACAGCCCTAGGCACTGGGCAAGGGAAGAGGTACCTTAAACAGACAAGGCATGTTTGTTTTCTCCAGGGTCAGAGCACCAGGAGCCACCACCTTTGGGTTGAGGAGGCCAACAGAAACCTTTTTCTGTCTAGGCTTTTCCCTGTCCCTCTTCTCATTCCACCAAGATGTAGTCCCACAAAGATTTTTCCCTCTGAGAGGAAATCTGATTGATTGACTCAGACTTCTAAGGGAAGACTATTCTCCCCTAAACCCTGTGTTTTCTGGATTTTTCTTTGTTTGGATTGGCAGAGAGCCAGGAAGTCCTGCCCTAGACTAGGACTTCTATTCTGCGGTTACTCATTTGGCCATTCAGGTATAAAGTGATGTGTCCTGGCCCAACTGGAGATCTCCGCTGTGTGAGCCAGGCAACAGAAGTAGTCATATCCTGGCTGTCCCGGTCATAGTTCTTTGTTCTTGTGGGTGTGGGAAGTCTGGGTACCGCCCACTAGTTGAACCTCTGGGGTGATGACCTGCCCTCTCTGGATCCTGGGTCTGTACCTGCTCCCCATCCCCCAGGGCATGCCTAAGCAGTAGATGTCCAGCAGCCCCAGAATGCTGTACGATCTCGTCATTTCGCATCTTGACCTGGAACAAGAGGGGCATCTTCCTCTGAGCCCATGGACTCGGTTCCTCCCCAGGACCACTACATCTGCCTTCAGGAATCTTTAGTGGGGAAGAGCCACACTGGCCAGGGGAGCCTTCACAGAGGCAGGTGGCCAATGGCTCCATGGAAACACCTGTTCCTGAACCTTGTGATCCTGCACATGCCTCTCCCTGAGAGCCACACTTCCTCCTGCTCTGCTGGATCTCTAGCTACCTCAGTACCCTGCTGTCTGTTTCCTCCCTGTCACATACCACATGTCCATCTCGGAGCTTTTGCCTAGGCTGACTTGGTGGCAAAGGTATATCAGAAGTAGAAACACACCTAGCCCAATCACATGTACCCATTCCAGAAATAGATGTCTTCTGGCTGGCAGGATGATGGTCTCCATACCGAATCAAGGTCCCATATTTCAGGCTCAACCGAAGACATGGCTTATTAAACACGGAAATGTATCAGTCGTGTTGTTATTCATATGGGCCAAGGATATGCACTCACAGAGGGGACTACACAGGGGACCACCTGGACCCTGTTGCTCCTCAGGACACAGAACCAAGGGTCTGCAGAGGTAGAGGGGCAGTGGTGTGCCCAGTAGGGGCAATAACCTCATTAGTTCTTACAGATGTGTGCCTTCTCAAAGGGAACCTGCCCTGAGCCTGTCTTGGAGACAAGGAAGTCAGGCAATTGAGTTGGCACCCCAGCAACCCTGTGGACCAATAACAGAAAAACCAGAGACGATAGCAAATAAGGAAGGAAGTTCATTTAATTTTTTTTTAGGCATTCACGTCCAGGGCCAAAGGTCAGCTCAGGGTAAGGCAAGTCCAGGAAAAAGCTTGCCTGCCTGCCTGCCTGCCTGCTATGCCAGAGTCCTGGGGCTCAGAATAAGTGGCCAGCCAGCCACAGTTAGTAAAGCATGGCAAGGCCAACCTGGGAACAGGAAGGAATAAGAACATGTCCCTTCAGTCACCTCCCAAGTTCAAAGTATAAACCTAGTAGAGCCCTACTGAGCCAGCCCATGAGTCGGGCATCCTTCCTGCTCAGGGAGAGTCAGCAGTTTGCATTCATGGAAAACATACCAGAGGTGGCGGCCTAAGCCCGCATTTCCCACAGTAACAACCCTTTGCATCGCGAAAAACCATGATGAGGTAGGTTGGCAGGCAGGTGTATTCCTCCCTTCAGAGGTGAGCTTTGGCAAAGCAGGCAAAATGGCAACAGCTGTAACTTCTTGCCTCCAAAAGACAAGAGTGGGGTCAGTGGGATTGTGGGCTGAAATGGCATTGAACATAGGGTCCCAAATTGAAGTCAATCTGAGGTTGCAGAAATATAGGTATTAGGGACCGCCCCCCAACCAAACTAGAGCTAACTTCCCACCCACTGTGAGCTTCCTGACTAACCCTCTGTCAAATGCTTTCCAGGGCAAGACTCCTGAAGGGGAGAGTTCCCCCCTGAGCCATCCTCACTTGAGGGTATAGTAACTCGTAGGCACAAAGGGCATCTTGCTGACCATAGCCATCTGCTGCTTCCGCCGCACCTCTACCAGCAGCGGAGTTCCTGGCCGGCTGTACTCACAAGGCACATAACCCATGGCCACATTCTTCTTCAGACAGGGCGATGGACAGCCACTGGTCACAGCACCTGTACAGGCAGAGGCCATTTGTTAACATCACCTAGTCCAGGCCAGCCCCGTGCCCTCCACCCTCCTGAGGAAGAGATAAGGACCATCCCCCACCAGTTTCCCTCATCCACTTACCAATCTTGGTACCCTCCATGTTCAGGATGGGACTGTGTGCCCGCACAGGGGCCCCCTCACTTATCAAGCCCACACGCCTCCGCTGCACCTGGCCCTTCAGCTGGGGAACAATGACCTCGGCTCCAGGAAAGTCCATAGTGGCTCGGCGGCGCTTCCCTGGAACACGACATGCCAGACCTAAGCCATAGCCACTAGACATGCTGGCCACACAAGCTCATAGCTACAAGGACCCCTTCATTTGGGCTCCTTCAGGCTCTATTCCTGCACTGCGGGCAGGCCACTATTCCCATCCTAACCTCCAGAAGCTCCAAGGCTTTTAACAAGGCCATAACTGCACCTTCAGGGAACCTAAGTTACTTGCTTCAGGCCACACCTCCAGGACCCTGTCTTTTGGTGCCAACCTAGCTTACCTAATGTCCAACTGAGGCTTCCCTCCACAGGTGTAGTATGTTCATCAATATCATTCCCATATAGGCAGAGACCTGCCTCCAGGCGCAGGCTGTCTCGGGCTGCCAGTCCGGCCAGCTTCACCTCGGAATTTTCCAGCAGAGCTGTTGCCAGGCGGACTGCCCCTGCTGCAGGCACTGAGATCTGCATGGGACACCAGAGGGCAAGTAGGTGGGCATCTGCAGTCATGTGCCCTGCACTGCCCTATAACCATTCTTGTTCATTTTTGAAATATATTTTGAGGATCCAGCACAGTAACCCAATAGCTAAAGTTCTTGGGCCTTACAAGCACCGGGATCCCTTATGGGCGCCAGTTTATATCCCAGCTGCTCCACTTCCCATCCAGCTCCCTGCTTGTGGCCTGGGAAAGCAGTAGAGGATGGTCCAAAGCCTTGAGACCCTGCACCTACAGGGAAGACCCAGAAGAACCCATACATTGAGAGGGAAAGAGAGGAAACAAATTTCCCATCTGCTGGTTCACACTCCAACAAATGCCTTCAAAAGCTGGGATCCATGGGCCCGGCGTGGTGGCGCAGTGGTTAAGGTCCTCACCTTGCATGCCTGGGATCCCATATGGGCGCCGGTTCTAATCCCGGCAGCCCCGCTTCCCTTCCAGCTCCCTGCCTGTGGCCCGGGAAAGCAGTCGAGGAAGGCCCAAAGCTTTGGGACCCTGTGCCTGCGTGGGAGACCCGGAAGAGGCTCCTGGCTTTGGATCAGCATAGCATCGGCCGTTGCACTCACTTGGGGAGTGAAACATCGGATGGAAGATCTTCCTCTCTGTCTCTCCTCTCTGTATATCCGCCTTTCCAATAAAAATAATAATAAAAATAAATCTTTAAAAAAAAAAAGCTGGGATCCAGTAACTCAACCTAGATCTCCCAAGTAGGTGGCAAGGACTCAAATATATGAGCCATCACTGCTGTTTCTCTGGAGACATGTTAGCAGGAATTTGAAATTAGAAGTAGAGCCAGGGGCACAGCTCAGTAGTTTAGCGGCTAAAGTCCTCATCTTGCAAGCACCAGGATCCCTACGGGTGCTAGTTCTAATCCCAGCAGCCCTGCTTCCCATCCAGCTCCCTGGCTGTAGCCAGGAAAAGCAGTCGAGGATGGCTCAAAGCCTTGGGACCCTGTACCCATATGGGAGATCTGGAAGAAGCTCCTGGCTCCTGGCTTTGGATTGGTTGAGCTCCAGCTGTTGTGGCCACTTGGGGAGTGAATACTCAAATGGAAGATCTTTCTCTCTGTCTCTCCTCCTCTCTGTATATCTGGCATTCCAATAAAAAATAAATATTTTTTTTTTAAAAAGTAGAGCCAGAGCTTGAACCCAGGCACTTTACCCAATGGGATACAGACATCTCAAGCTATATATTAACAAGTGTGCCAAATGCCAACCCATACATCCACTTTTTTTTATGCACTAGAAAAAAATTTTTATTTATGTATTTGATAGAGGAAAAGATAGCGAAAATCATCCACCTGCTGAATCACTCCCCAAATGCTACAATAGTCAGGACTGTGTCCTGCTGAAGTCAAAAGCCTGGAAATCTAGCCTGAGTCTCCCACACAGGTGCAGAGACCCAAGCCTCAGGTCAATGCCTTCCCAGGTACATTAGCAGGAAGCTGGAACAGAAGTAGAGTAGTTGGAATTTGAACCAGCATCCAGATGGGATGCCAGCATCGTAGACAGAGGTCCAACCCGCCATGCCACAATGCCATCTCCAAACCTGCTTCTTGACATACCTCCATACCATCCTCTCCTGTGTAGCCACAGCGGGTGACACGACAGCCAGATACTCCAAACACCTCCATCACAGCACTGGTCATGAAGGGCAGTGTCCTCAGGTCATGTCCCACGCCAGCCTGCAGTACCTGGGCGGCAGTGGGCCCTGTACCCAAGGAGCCAGTGACCAAGCATCCAGATCCCAGTGCCCCTCAGAAGTGGACTACAGCCTTTACTCAGGAATCAAAAAGCAAATCCAGGACAAATCCTACTCTGCCAGTAGGAAAGGGACTCTAATCCCTAGCTCAACCTTTGAGGATTAGTGGGGGAGGGCAAAGGCCAACATGCACACTTAGAGTTACGCCACACAGACAACACACACCACACCTTCCTCTTAGTATGGCCTCTGTGCTAAGTATTAGATGAAGGCAGGAAAGCCAAGGTTAGCTCCAATTCCAGCCTTGTCCCTCTTACCTTGCAGGGCCAGCAGGGCATTATCCATTACCTCCAGGCCCACATCACTGCCCCTGTTCTGCAGCTCCCTGACCTTGGCCTGAAAAGAAAGAGAGAAGCACATTAGACTCTGGGATTCCCATCCTGAGAACCTACCACAGGTTAGACACTACAGAGCTAGGTGTAGGAGAATAGATTCCCATCTTACCAAGTTGCAGAGCTACTGAGGAATAGGATGATTATAAGTCCAGGTCTACCACCCGTCACTTCTTCACCACAGGATTCTTACTTTGAGATCAAAGCCAGCTTCTGGCCGCCTCCCTGTGTCCCCTACCACCCAGCCCTGACGTGCTCCAGGGCAGGTCTGTGCAAGTCTTGCAGACATTCATTCCTCAAAGAGTCACTTCTCGAGCCCCTGGGCCAGGCTTGCTCAGGACAACACAGGGATGAGGACAAGATACTGAGAACATAGAAGGGTTTTACCTGCATGAGGGCCAGATCCTTATCCCGGCAGCCAGCATTGGACACCACATACAGGTATCCCTCAGAAGTGTTGGTCACAATTAGATCATCTAAGATGCCTCCAGCCTCGTTGGTAAACAGTGACAGTGTCCCCTAGCACCAAAATGGAGCAGCTTGGCCTCCAGACCCATGAAGACATTGCCAAGAGTCATACACACACACACATCCCTGGCTCTGCTAAGCCACAGTAAACTCATGCTCAGAGTATGCAGGGTGCATAGCTGGACCCAGATCTAGACTCTAATCTTCATGTACCAAGTAAACTTTACTCTCTCCCCACCTTGGGCAGGGGACTTCCCTGATTCCCTAGGAGCCCTTGTTCCCCTTCCCTACTCAGTACCAAGCCCTATGTCACACTTCATCTATGACACCTAGGACTGGGTACTTTGTCCCACCTAGGCCTGGGGCAACTCAGCCAGTGTTCCAACCCCACAGCATACAAGCTTCCAAGCTCCCGTGGATGACTAGCACTTCACAGAGATGCCCCAGTTGAAGTGTCTGAAGGTCAAGGGTCTCAAGAATCATGCGGGGATCTTTATTTTATTCATTTTTGTTTTGCTTTTTCTTCTTTTTTTTTCCCTCAATACCTGGGAACCTTGTTAAAGGCTCTGATTGAACAAGTCTAATGGAGTTCCAGGAATATCTTCCTAGCAAGTTCCTCATAGGCAGCGAGAGGTTCAACAATACAGAAACCTTGCTTTCTGGTCTCCCAGCTTGATATGGCAGTGGAGATAGCACCTCCCCCAGGCACAGCTGGAAATGACTCTTGGACTCTGTCCCCCAAGACAACAAAGCCTTGAGAAAGTGCATCTGACCCATTCCTGTGCCCCACAGTCCAAGCCAGAGGAAACAACCCAGCCCAGTTGCTGGTTCATGATGGAAAACACACACTAAGCAGAAAGCAAAGGGTCCACCTGGTTTGGCTTTAGTTCTGCGATGTCTCCAACCACCAGACTTTCCATCAGTTTCACCCGGTCACGACCATGTATCTTGCTCTGGGAAAAAGATGGAAAGCCACAGACCACTGGGCATCACACAGTCCCCTGTGCAGTCCAGCCCAGAAGGCACTGAGCGGTCTTTTAGTTCTACAAGTGGCAAGGCCCCACTTTCTAACTCCCCTACATGCCCCAGCACAGGATGTGACTTGGGGGACCCAGAGGAGAACCCACACATTTCCAAAATACCCCCTTTTCCAAACCAATACCTAGCACTAGGTTGAGAATTGGGAGTAATAGGAAGAGGGTGGACAACTTAGAGAGGGACATCCTGAGTTAATTCCCTCAGGGCCATGGCTCTTCTTGTATGGTTGTCCTTGGAACCCAGTTCCCTGGAAACAAAGCTGGAGGAGTGCAGCTCAGTCAGGTGGGAAGAAGGCCTGGCCCAGAGACCAGGGAGCTGCCTTGGCTTACCTGCAGCATATGAGACACGTCAAAGAGTGAGCAGTGGTGGCGCGTGTGCAGATGTGAGGCAATGTGACTGTCCTGGTACTGCACTGGCAGGCTCCAACCCGCGAATGCCACCATTTTCCCTCCGTGGGCCAGGTGAAAGTCATAGAGTGGCGTCCTATGGAGCACATCCTGTGGGGAGTGGAGTTTAGTACCACCAGGGTCCTAGCCCACCCCATATCCCTGCACCCTCCCCACCTACCATCCCTCAAAGATCACCACCAAATCCCAGCACCCTGTATCCCACCTGTGCACTACTGAGTGGACGACGCAGAGCTGAGGGGAGCGCCTGCAAGCGCAAGCCCAGAAGGGACACCATGCTCACTGCTAGTCGCTGCATTGTCGCCTACAACCCGTGCAGCTGGCGCTGAGAGGCCACCAGTTTGCCAGGCACGCTGGGAGATGTAGTCCAGGCCAGAGCTCGGACAGGTCTCAAAAGCCTGCTAAGAGGAATCAGAGGAGGGGGAGGGTTGCCCGGAGGACTGGCTGGAATTTAAAACAGCTAGAGCAGAAACTCCACACAGCGGGGAAACAGTCTTAGGCTCTTCCCCCAAAGGCTAATTGGTGGCGGAGCAGGTTGTCCAGAGCTGACTGACCAACCCAGAGCCAAAGGCAGGGGTCAAGACCTCCCCACTGCCTCCCACCTCCAAAAGTCAAAGTTCAGCAAAAGATTGATAGGTACATTCAGAACTTCCTGCATGTAAGGTTAGATTGGGGAATAGGAAGCTGGAGGCTGACAGAGGGGCCCAGCACCCAGGTGCTGGCCTCAGGTAAGGATCCCAAATTTCCGCCCCAGCAGACAAGGTAGTCAGCACAATCACATGCATTTCATTAAGTGTTTATTGATCTTGCTGCACACCAGAGCCTTTATGGGTGCTAGAGGCAGCTGTGAACACAGTACACACACACACACACACACAGTGGCGATCACCCTTTTAGCAAAAGCAAGTGGGACTAATAAATGCAGGTAACCATAATGTTGAGCACAGAGGGTGGACACCAAAAAGTGACTTAATAAAGTGTTAGGGGCTTGGTGTGGTAGCCTAGTGGCTAAAGTCCTCACCTTTCATGCGCCTAGGATCCCATATAGGTGCTGGTTCTAATCCCAGTAGCCCCACTCCCCCTCTAGCTCCCTGCTTATGGCCTGGGAAAGCAGTCAAGTCAGATTTGCAGAGAAAAGGAGAGACAGATAAGATCTTCCATTCTCTGGTTCACTCCCCAAGTAGCTACAACAGCCAGAGCTGAGCCGATCCAAAGCCAGGAGTCTGAAACTTCCTGCAGGTCTCCCTTGCAGATGCAGGGGTCCAAGGCTTTGGGCCATCCTCGACTGCTTTCCTAGGCCACAAGCAGGGAGCTGGATGGGAAGTGTGGCCACTGGGATTAGAACTGGTGCCCATAAGTGATCCTGGCATGTGCAAGGAGAGGATTTTAGCCACTAAGCTACCATACTGGGCCCCAAAAATATAAATCTTAAAAAAAATTTTTTTTTAAATACAAGGTGTTAAGCCCGTGCACCTGTCCAATTTTCCAGAAGCAAGACACTCGGCAGTACTTCTTCCTTATAGACCCCAGGCACCAAGCAAAACCAGAGGGAAGCAGGATTCTCTCCCCAGCTTAAGCACAGCCTGTGGCAGTTCATGGCTGGCTTTAGGGTAACAAGAAACTTCACCGGCTCTTAGAAGGCAGTCATGAGAACCTTCCCTTGGGCCCCCCCCCCCCCCCCCCCCCCCCCCCGTGGATCCCTCAGCCCACTGAGCACGACAGGGACATGCAGTGTTGGGTGAAAGACAGATCTCCCATCTGCTTCTCAGGCACATCCTCTTGAACACACATCCAGGAGCAAGGAACCAGAGGACACAGGCTATGCAAAAATCCCAGCTTTGCTTCCCAGGCAGGCAGCAGGAGAGTTTAAACAGGAAATTTATTTTGGTGGGCATGATACAAAGGGAAAGAAGGCCCCAATCTCCAGGGCTGCTAAGGCAGCAGTGGTCTCCCAGGATGACATGAAGCAGATGCCAGAAGGTTCATCCCAACCCACTGCATGCAGAGTGAGGGCATAGGTGGAAGATGGGTGTGGGACGAGGGTGAAGGTTGGCAGAGGGGCCTCAGGGGTTCTTGGGGTATTTTATTTTATTCTGGGTAGGAGAAGAAAGAAGAGTTGTGTTGCAGCCTGGTGAAGATGGAGGTGGACCCCTGCCAGGAATTTATGCCAAAGCATAACAGGGAACTAACCCCTCCCTGCCCTGAGAATCTCAAATCTGTGATGACGGCCCAGGCAGCATGGCCGCACAGCCAACACTCAGAATGCGCAGGGAAAGCACTTCAATCACTGGTGGTCCAAACCCAGCCTGGGTAGGCACAGGCATGGCCAAGGTCTTGGCTATGAATCATGGCTCAGGTGTAGGAAAGCAAGTTCAGGTCGTAACAGCCATCCACCTGCAACACAAAAGACCCTCAGGCATGAGGCTCTCAGCACAGGGCAAGCCAAGGCCAAGGTGAGGGAGGCCCTCACTCACATCAAAGCGGCCGATCCTCGTGGAGCTGGGACTGGCCCGGATCATCTCTGTCAGCGCCCACATCTGCTGCACCTTCGAGGACACGCTGCTGGGGTCCGGGAAACCCTGCTCCAAAAGGAGGGGCTGGTAACCTTAGAGCTCTGGGGTAGGGGTGGGGGATCATACTGGATTTAGGGACACTCCACCTGAGGCCAGTAACCTTCTCAAGATGAGCTCAGGGCCCGTTAGCAGGAGGCAGCTGACACCAGGGCCAGGGCTAAGCACACTTCTTTCATGGGGCGAAAGCTTACCTCAACGAGGGGAGCGGGCTGCTCACAGGGTGCAGGATGGGAAAGCCACTTGGGGAAGGTCATAGAGGGGCTCTGCAAAACACAGGCCAACTGCCCTGAGCGACACCGAGCAGCAGGAAAAAGCCACAGTCCCCGGGGGCAGAGAGAAGGAGGAGCCCCTGAAAACCTTCAGGAGGTCCAAAGGCACAGTGAGACTACCTAAACTCAAGCACCAGGGGCAGCAGCAGCTGCTGACAGGTCTCCCGGCCCCTGAAGGTGTCCATCAGAAAGTGGCAGGTGGCCCCCATGTTCACAGCCTTGTCTCCAATCATGAGTCTTCCAGCACTCACACCTGGCCAACCTCTCTTGAATATTGTCTCTCGATTATCACCATCCTTACCCATTACTTGCCCACCAGCCCACTAGCCTAGCCCTCCCAGTCACAGTCAGGGGGATTAGGGTGGGGGTTGGGGAAGCCTCTTGGGGAAGGGGCGAGCCCACACCTCTAGGCAGCAGTCACTTACCTTTGGTCCCAGCTGGTAGATCTTCAGCTCCTCCACAGTGAAAGATAGCCACAGTGGTGAGGGCTGCCGTAGAATCAGGCGCAGCTCCACGACTCGGGCCATGTCGCAAAGCATCTGACAACAGATACAAGGATCCAGAGAGGACCCAGCCAGCCCACCACCCAGGAGCCTCCCAACCAGCCAAGTACCAAGATGCTGGCCCCCTGCTGGGCTCCTCTGGGAAGGAGAGAAGAGTGGTGCTCCCTCCATGGCCCTTGCCTGAGAGCAGTAGCCCAGGTAACATCCCACTTTTCCCTCGAGAAATATGGTCCACAGGCCTTCTCCTCCTCAAAGTTGCCGTGGCCATGCTGGGACCCAGCTGACCTGGTGCTGGAACAGCGATACATACTCCTGGGCTCCCTCCTCACTGTGCGGGTCAGGCATCAGGCAATGGTTCCGAAGGCAAGTCACCCATCTGCTTGGGCCATGTGTCGAGGTTTGCTGACGGAAACGGATGGTCAGGAAGGCTGTGTAGTAGTTCTTAAAGGTGATTTCCTGCAGCTGGAATACATACACACCACAAATCAGAGCCCCCAAACTAGGTTCTTTTTTTTTTTTTTTAAAGTTATGCTGTAAAGACACAGTGACATTTTCATCTACTTGGCCATAGGATTGGAAATGGAGTAGCCAGGATCTGAATCCACAACCCATATAGAATGCTAGTGCCAAAGGCAAAGGTTTAGCCTACTATGCCAAGGCAGCAGTCCAAGTGAGCTGTCTTCTCTTTTCGTACATGGTCTTGCATTCAACAAGTATAACTGAGGTCCACAGACCTCCTAACTTGGCTAAAAGTCCTCCCAGTCTGAATAAATAGGTCAGACCCATAAACCATGACTGGGATCTCACCACACGTCCCAGACACTGCTAGAGGGCAGAGCCCTACCCTGGAAAAGGTGGATGATGCCTGACGGCTGAGGCCTGGGACAGGAGGCATTAGGTACAGGGAATGTCACGGTAGCACCTGGTGGACAGGAAGGTGGGAAAACCTGGCAGTGACTGGACTCAATCAACATGACCCACCCAGGGTCAGCCGTGGCCCATCAGGCGAATCCTCTGCCGGCTGGTGCCAGCATTCCTATGGGCACAAGTTTGTATTTCTGCTGCTCTATTCTGATCCAGCTCCCCGTTTATGGTCTGGGAAAGTAGAGGAAGAAGGCCCAGGTCTTTGGAACCCTGATGGCTTGTGAGAGAACCAAAAAAAGTTTCTGGTTTCTGGTTCCTGGCTTTGGATTTGCTCAACTCTAGCCATTGCAGCCACTTGGGAAGTAAACCAGCAGATGGAAGATTTTTCTCTCTGTCTTTCCTTCTCTCTATAAATCTGTCCTTTCAATAATAATTTAAAAAAAAAAATCACCCAGCCCAGCATGATGGCCTAGTGGCTAAAGTCCTTGCCTTGGAAGCACTGGGATCCCAAATGGGTGCAGGTTCTAATCCTGGCAGCCCTGCTTCCCATCCAGCTCCCTGCTTGTGGCCTGGGAACTTAGCTGAGGACGGCCCAGGGCCTTAGGACACTGAGTCTATGTGAGGGACCCAGAGGGAGCTCCTGGCTTTGGATCAGCGCAACTCGTTGTGGCCGCTTGGGGAGTGAATCATAGGACAGCTGTCTCTCCTCCTCTCTGTATATCTGACTTTCCAATAAAATAAATCTTTTTAAAAAATTACCCAACAGGTCCAGTCCCTGTAGCCTAGTGGCTAAAGTCCTTGCCTTGCATGCACCAGGATCCCATATGGTTGCCAGTTCCTATCCCGGCAGCCCCACTTCCCATCCAGCTCCCTCCCTGTGGTCTGGGAAAGCAGAAGAGGATGGTCCAAAATCTTGGGATCCTGCATCCACGTAGGAGACCCAGAAGGATCTCCTGGCTTCTGGCTTTGTACTGGCTCAGCCTTTGTGGCAACTTGGGGAGTGAGTCAGCAGATGGAAGATCTTTCTTTCTCTCCTCTGTGTAAAATGTGACTTTCCAATAAAAATAAAATAAGTCTTTAAAAAAAAAATCACCCAACAAAAGTTTTAACAACACAGGTGTGTGGGCTCCACCTCAAGACAAATGTAGTGCATCAAGAGTTCCAGGGCTGGGCCCTTTAATTAAGTGTCCCAGATAATAGTAAGGAACAGGTTAGTGGAGGACACAACATGACAGCATGGGGCACAGAAGTAGGAGGGGAGCACAGGACTTGTCTGCTCACTCCTGCTGATGTGAGAATGCAAGGGACCCTGGGAACTTGAGCCACTTGGGAGGATGCAGATGAAGAATGGTCTGCGCCTGGTCTCTGGGGGCAGGGTTGTAGGAATGAGAGAGGATGTCCCTGGCCGTGGCCAGGGCCACAAAGATCTCCTCGTCTCTCTATGGCAGGTACGCTGTCCTTGATGCGGAAGAAATGTCAGAGAACACAGCAGCAGGTTGCAGTCTCTGTGCTAATTGAATAAATGCATATGTGAACGGTTAGCATTCGCCAAGCGCCAGGGACACTGCAGGGACTCCGCCTGGGGAACGCCCTCCCAGCTCAGCTCCGCCCCGCCCCGGCAGTGAAGGCTGGCTCACCTGGAAAGGCGCAACGCTGGGAAAGGTGACATCAATGACCAGCACTCCAGGCCGGCCTTGGGAAGTCCGCACGTCACCCACCTGCAGGGCTACGGTACCTTTCACATGGCAGGGCACCAACACGCGCGACATGATGCCCGCTGCTGCAGTAACCGAACGCAACCACCGCCGCTCGCTCGGGGATGGGGTGGGGGCGCCAATCACTGGTCCTTTCTGTCCACTCAAGCCCAACCAGAAGAACTACAACTCCCAAGAAGCTTCGCGACTCAACCCGGCCAGCCAGTAACCGACAGCGGGGCAGGCCGGAAGCCGGAAGTGCCTGCGGGCCTCTTCTCTTCCGGCCATCTTCGCAGTAGGCTTCCCGGAGGCCGCGGCGCCGCCCAAACCGGCCCAGCTTGTGGAGGAGAAATTTCCCCCATCTGAAGCCAGGAACCTGGAGCCTCCTATGGGTCTTTGTAGGCAGAGGATTAGCTTCAACATCACTGTGCTAATTAAAAAAATTTTTTTTTTTATTTTTATTATTTGAAAGCAACAGAGAGAGAGAGGACTCTTTAATCTGCCGGTTCTTTCTCTATACGTCTGAAACAACTAGAACTGGGCCAGGCTGAAGCCAGAAACTAACAACTCAGTCCAGATCTGCCGTACCGCTAGCAAGGACTCAATTAGCCTCACCGTAACCTGCTGCCTCCTAGTGTGAGCTTTAACAGGAAGTCAGGACAAGAAGGGAGCAAGGAGGGACCTGATTTCATACCCTCTGTTACTGGATGCAGGCATCTCCAGTGGTTGGTTGGTTTCTTTCTTTTTCCCTTTTTTTCTATTTATTTTATTTTTGTTGCAAAGGCAGATATACAGAGAGGAAGATCTTCCATTTAATGATTACTTTCCAAGTGACCGCAATGGCCAGTGCTGTGCCGATCCAAAGCCAGGAGCCAGGATGTTTATTCCAGGTCTCCCACGCGGATGCAGGGTCCCAAGGCCTTGGACTGTCCTCGACTGCTTTCCCAGGCCACAGGCAGGGAGCTGGATGGGAAGTGGAGCTGCCGGGATTAGAACCAGTGCCCATATGGGATCCTGGGTGCGGTCAGGACGAGGACTTTAGGCACTAGGCCAACCGCGCTGGGCCCTCCCTGGTGGTTTCTTAAACACTAGGCAAAACACCTGGCCCTACTTTTAAGTTTTTCTTTTTAAGCTTTTTTATTTATTTTTTATTATTGGAAAGGCAGAAACACAGAGAGAAGGAGAGACAGAAAGATTTTCTGCCTGTTGGTTCACTCTTCAAGAGACCACAATAGCCAGAGCTGAGCCAATCCAAGTCAAGATTCAGGAGCTCCTTGCAGGTCTCCTACACAGGTGCAGAGTCCCAAGGCTTCAGGCCATCCTTGACTGCTTTCCCAGGCCACAAGCAAAAAAGCTGGGCGGGAAGTGAAGCAGACAGGGATACTGGAAGATGCAAGACGAGGACAGAAAAAGAGAATGAGGTTGAACAGCATAGGGTTCTTACACATTTTAGGCCAATAATTATACAGTTGTGATTGGTCAGTTTAACTGTTAACTTTCAAAAAGAGCAAGTTGGCAGGCTTCTATTGGTGGGTTTGAAGCAAGCAACTTTAAAAAAAATTTATATTTTGGGGAATCTTTACATAGTTAATTAGGGCATAAAGGTTCAAGGGCTACAGGAAAGTGGGTAAGACTATTATTTCCACATTGTTTTTTTCATGTATCTGGGGTATCGGGGGAGATAAAGGGAGAAGCCCCACCCTGTCTCCCACCTATCCCAGGTCCCCAATGTGGGGCATGCTCGAGGGTCTTGCTCAAGTAGTTTTGATGGTTCAACAGTTATGAATTGCTGCCAGTCTCACCATTCCAAGCAGGAAGAAATCGCTGCAGAGTCCACTGATTGACACTCCAAGTGAGCCAATTTTTCTTTGATGGAAGGAACTTGCACCTAAATCCAAGAAAGAGCAACTAGAAAAGGATTGATTGTCCCCTCCCCATTGACCCAACTATGAACCAGACAAAATATAGGAAGCAATAATGTTCAGACAGTGTGAATTAGGCAACACAAGACAGCGAGCCCTGATGGACGGAAGTACTTACAAATTAGAGGTTTCAGATCTGCACCGGGAACTTCCAGAAGGTTCCCTTGGGAACTTCAGTTGAGTAACAACCAGCAAAAACCTGTGAAACCACCCAAATCCTGGGAAATAACTTCTCAAAAGAATAAGATACCATAATCTCTAGATCTTCTTAAAGACCAGAACTAGTCTGTTGCCACCAGCCATAGTGAAAATCCTCCCAGCTCAAAGGGCACCAGGCCGAGTCTTTGTAAGAGCAGGTATAGCGGCCTGGCGTGATGCCTCAGTGTCTAAATCCTTGCCTTGTACTTGATGGGATCCCATATGAGCAATGGTTTGTGTCCCAGCTGCTTCATTTCCATCCAGCTCCATGCTCATGAACCGGGAAAGCAGTAGAGGATGGCACAAAATCTTGAGACCTTGAATCCACAGGGGAAACCAAAAAGAAGCTCTTGGCTCCTGGCTTCCAATCAGCTTAGCTTCGGCTGTTGCAGCCGCTTGCAGAGTGAACCAGTGAATGGAAGATCTTTCTGTCTCTTCTTCCCTCTGTAAATCTGACTTTCCAATAATAATCAGACTTTTTATTTTTTATTTTTTTATTTTTTTATTCTTCACTTATTCCAATAATAAGTCTTTTTTTTAAAGGCTCATGGGCCTGGCGCTGTGGCCTAGTGGCTAAAGACCGCTCCTTACCTGCTCCAGGATCCCATATGGACACCGGTTCTAATCCCTGCAGCTCCTATTCCCATCCAACCTGCTTGTGGCCTAGGAAAGCAGTCGAAGACAGCCCAAAACCTTGGAACCCTGCACCTGCCTGGCAGACCCGGAAGAAGTTCCTGGATTTTGGCTTCAGATTGGCTCAGCTCTGGCCATTGTGGTCACTTAGGAAGTGAATCAGCAGACAGAAGATCTTCCTCTCTGTCTTTGCTTCTCTCTGTATTTCTGCCTTTCCAATAAAAATAAATCTTTAAAAAAATAAAAATGATTAATACTTAAAAAAAAAATAAACTAGGGCCCAGCGATGTGGCCTAGTTGTTAAAGTACTCGCCTTGAACGCCCCGGGATCCCATATGGGCGCCGGTTCTAATCCCGGCAGCTCCACTTCTCATCCAGCTCCCTGCTTGTGGCCTGGGAAAGCAGTCGAGGACAGCTTTGAGATCCTGTACCCGTGTGGGAGACCCGGAAGAGGTTCCTGGTTCCCGGCTTCTGATCAGTGCAGCACTGGCCATTGCACTCACTTTGGGGGTAAATCATCAGACCGAAGATCTTCCTCTCTATCTCTCCTCCTCTCTGTATATCTGACTTTGCAATAAAAATGAATAAATCTTTAAAATAATAATAATAATAAACTAAGAAATAAAAGAAAAAAAACTTTAGGCTTCCTCTGTCTCCCAATTCGACTCTTACTCCATGCTCTGGCCATCTCAACTGTCCTCTTTGTTGTTCCCAGGGTCACAGATGAATTCCTGCCTTTTGGCTTACTCTCTCTGTTTTGTCATTTCTCAGCCTAAACATATTTGAATCTGACATCGTATTATATATTTAATGGTATACATGTTGATTAAACTGCACTGTTCAAATTAAATTGAATTCATGCCTTAAATATGAGCACCTGCCATAATTTTTACATTTCTTGCAGTTATGATAAAAATGTCAAAGGAACAGTTTGATTATTTTACATAACTCATATTTTACATACCAAATATGATCATTCCAACAGAAAAATACATGTTTTACGGAATGGATATTTTTTCAGAGTAATCTTTTCAGAGAAAATCTTTGATATAAATGTTGCTTACACATATAACACATTGCAATTTAGACGAGCCAAATTTACGTTTTCAGTCCTCAAAATGTGCACCCTATAAAACCAAGACTTAATCTGTCTCATTCAAAGCCAAGTTTCCAGCTCCTAGAATAGGATTTGGCACATAGGTGTACAATTAGAGTTTGTTGAAAGTGAGCGAATGGAGTGGATTTGCATTCCCTGGCATCCTTGCCTGGGACTGGTGCCCAGCCCAGGAACCCCCAGGATCCCAGTTGCTAGAGAGAATCAAGTCTCTTAATCCGCCATCCTCTGGCAAGTCAGGGTAGGTAGCGCCATCTGCTGGTTGACAACGAGCTACTGGGCTTTGAGGATCACCTGCTACATCTGTGGCTGGTGAAATCACATTGCCACGAAATCAGTTCCAGGTGTTTGGACTGACTTTGCCCATTGAACCTTGGATATTCAAGTTTCCACTGCATTCGAGCCCTTATCTCTTCATATTGCATAATCTTATTTCCTCTTCTCACAAAGACAGCTATCATATCAAGAACCCCATTACTCTGTCTCCGTCTTTCTGTGTATCTGTTATACCTGACATTCCAATACAAAAAAGCGGCGGGTAGGAGGCCTGGTGTAGTAGCCTAGTGAATAAAGTCCTAGCCTTGCATGTGCCAGGATCCCATATGGGCACTGGTATCTAATCACAGCAGCTCCACTTCCCATCAACCTCCCTGCCTGTGGCCTGGGAAAGCAGTCAAGGACAGTCCAAAGCCTTGGGACCCTGCACCCACATGGGAGACCTAGAAGAGGTTCCTGGCTTCAGATTGGTGCAGCTCTGGCTGTTGAGGAAGCTCGGGGAGTGAATCATCAGATGGAAGATCTTCCTCTCTGTCTCTCCTTTCTGTATATCTGACTTTCCAATTTAAAAATCCCATCAATGGTGCTTGTTGTGACACAGGTAAAATTGCTGCCTGGAACACCTGAATATCATATTAGAGTCCTGGGTTGTGATCTTGAACCTCTGCTTCTGCCCAGCTTATTGCTAAGGCAGTTTGTGAGGTAGCAGATGATGGCCCAAGTCCTTAGGCTCCTGTGACCCACTAAGGGGTGGCCCTTGCTCCTAACCTCAGTCTAGCCAAAAACCAGCTATTGTAAACATTTAGATAAGGAACCAACAAGTGAAAAGTATCAGTTTGTCTCTATATCACTGTCTCATATAAAAATATATAAGGTACAGGCCCAGCGAGATAGCCTAGTAACAAAATCCTTGCCTTGCATGTGCCGGGATCCCATATGGATGCTAGTTTGTGTCCTGGCTGCTCCACTTCCCATCCTGCCTGTGGCCTGGGAAAGCAATAGACAAT